AGATGATTCTACCCTTTGACCAGGTGTTGTAAGGAGCACGTGCGTTTTTGTTTACCTTTATAAAATACGCTTTGTTGGTTTTTAATTTGTATCTAGAATTTTTCTAGTGTGCGACGGAAAAGGGCGAGGTGATCCGATGAGTTTTATAATAGAAAAAACCCATGATATAAATCCTTTTTCTCCGAAAAACCGTGACTTGCCAATGTCCTTAAATTTTTATTTTTGAAAAATCGCTTTTCCCCATAGACTTCAAGGCAATCTTTGTTAATTATCTACTGCTTAATTAATTAACTTTTTGAAAATTTCTCGTGGGCAATCCTTTTTCACTATAAAATGCTTTAATATAATATCAGAGTATTGTGTACTTGACGGACATTTAAGGGTAGAGAATTTGGTACCATTAGGAATTGAAATCCTTAAAACATAATATCAATTATAAGCCCCCCCCCCCCCCTCCAAAAAAAATGATTAAGAATTTTGCCTATGAAATATTTCGGGAGTGGTGTTGAAAGTTTAGACTACGTACAACTATCAGTCCATTGAATAAGAATATTTATTTTAAACTTTGGGGAAAGGGAGTGGGGTGCATGGGGAAGTTGTGGTGTATACGTAATACATTCGAGATTATTATTATTCCGTTAGACAGAAAGGCCCAAGGAGTTGTGATTTGCTGATCATGATCTAAAACACATTGACAAACTGTCACATTTACGGTGTTATTTCGTCTATTTGTATTTTAAATTTACTGTGATAATTGTTCTCACGTTATTCCATAGTTTCTTTCAGTTTTCCTATTCTGGACCCCTTCGAACACCCTCTTTGGTACCTCTACACTACCCGTATTTATTCACCTGAGTTTAGGCTTCCGTCCGTCTTAAAACCGGCTTTCCAAGATGTAGTAGCACGAGCTGACTATCCAATTTTATTTTCAAAGTTTTGTAAAGTTAAATTTATATCGTTAATACAGACACTGACTTCTGAGGTCCCGTCCTACGTTCTACGTTTTACGTTCTACGTTCTACGTCGTTTTGTGTATGGTGTCAGTGTATGGTGCACAGTGTACGGAGTATGGTGTGATGTAGTAACTTACCGTTGTGTGGACAGACAAGAGCCGGAATACTATGTACAGACCCTGAGACGTGCTACTACCCCACACGCTCGCTGCACGAACGGTACACGAACGCTACACGGTTTGCACGAAACGCTGCACGGTTTACACGAAACCCTACACGGTCTGCACGAAACGCTACACGGTTTACACGAAACGCTTTGCACGGTTTACACGAAAGGCTGCACGGAACGCTTTGTACACGTTTCTCACACGCTTTGTGCACGATTCTCGCACGGTTTGGCCTCGGTTTGGATTTTTCTTCTCGGAATATCTCGGGCATTTTTACCGCTTTATCATTAATTCAATGAAAATCGCTCAAAAGGCCACATCAAGCAGCTGTTTAAATTATATTTAGTACACTTGTATTATAAAAACCGATAGAAATATTTAATACTCTGACAGTTGTAATTAATTGATAAATAATTGTCAGTTCGAATTTATTTATCCAACTGTTTAAAAACGAAATGCCGAAATCGTGAATGACTGTTTAAATAAAATACAATTTTTATATACAGTTATAAGTTTATTCATTTCAATGTAATATTTTTACGAGTATAATTTGATAAATTGATTTAAAAAATTGAACACAAATTCGATTTCTCACCGCAGGAATATAAACTCATTGATTTTTAATAATATTGATTATATTGTGTTTGATTTCCGTAGGCGGATTATTTTTTGTGATTTTGATTTTAAATTATAAATTAAATTTGCCTATATACTCTACTAACGATTATTGATACATTTTTAAAGATTTTTTTTACGCAAGCATTATCAATAAGAGGGAAACCGGTAAAGGGGGGGGGGGTAATGTGATCTATTAATCTCTTCTATTCTCTTTCTCTCTTTACATGAAGCTTATCAAATAACATCAGTATACCCATCATACTGTAAAATCCTTCATTTCAAAACAGGACTAAACGTATGTTTATATGTGTACATTTATTAATAGTCGCGGCATTTGACTATACATTGTACATACAATATAGATCGATCTTAACACCGGCATTCAGGTATATTTCAAGAAAACTGATATATCTTTGATGAAATAAAAAGTACGTGAGTTATAAAACAAATAATATACAATTCTTCATGATTTACTCCTAAGCTTTTCTTACATGATATTCATAAAAAGACTACCAAATCAGTCCTGTTTATTCTTTACTGTTTACGGCTAGAAATTCGGATTAATAAATAAAAGATGAAATCCGCTGATTTATAAGTTGTACCTATCAAATATTTATAGAATCATTTTATTACAAAAAAAAACAAATAAAATCCAGTCGTAATTTTCAACTGTCATTAAGCCGTGAACTCAACATGTACATATAGCAAAACAGGTTTTCAATTGCAATGCACTCGGAGCCCGTGATCGCTGTTGTAAATGACCTTGATCACAGTTGAAAGGCGGAAAGAAGATTCCAATACATTTTTAAGGGGTGTATCTGCGCATACATTTAACAACGAATTCAAACAAGAATAGAAAATTAAGCATTTAATTAAACTAACATTAGATTGAAAGGTACAACAACAAAATTAAAGACTGTACTACTAATTTAATTTAACACCCCCCCCCCCTCGTTTATAAAGATATGGTCGTCGGTGCATGTGAATTAAAATTATAAAATCCATTTTTTTTTTAGAATAATGAGCAACAAGTTTTATGTATTAATAGATATGAAATGACACATCGTTTCAAATGTAAAGACAAGAGCGGAGTCATGATATATTTTAAATTAAAAAATATATATGACGGTATTTCTTTCTTTCTTTGAGAAAAAATATTTAAGAAGCCACGATCGCGTTGATACAAGTAGTTTATTGAATACAATGCCCTTAAAATTGTTGTACATGTACATAGCTGATTTATTTGAACACATTTTCTATAGAAGGAAAAAAATCAAACAAATATAAATCATACATTACCGTTTAATTTCGTTTGCCGTTCCATTTTTTTTTTTGTTTTTACTCCTGCATGTATAATATCACAAGCATAACTAATTTAATTATAAAATACTAACAGAATTTTACATCCTGACCCATCGATAGCCATATTTAAAATGAAATGATTTCCGAATGAATCTTACACGATTCTTGCACGAAAGTCGCACGTTTCTCACACGGTTCTTGCACGAAAGTCGCACGTTTCTCGCACGCTTTTCGCACGCTCGCTACACGATTTGCACGAAACGCTTTGGAGCTTACACGAAACGCTGCACGGTTTACACGAAACGTTACACGGTTTGCACGAAACGCTGCACGGTTTACACGAAACGCTACACGGTTTGCACGAAACGGAAAGCGCACGAAAGCCACACGCTTTTTAGGGGTAGTAGCACGTCTCAGGGTCTGTACAATGAATTGTCTATATAAATGTGAAAACGTTTTTTGAGTTTTTTTGATTATTTGGAAATCACTAGGGAAAGAACCCGCAACAAATGGTGTCAGAAGAAGGGGGTTCTTTCCCTAGTGATTTCCAAATAATCAAAAAAACTCAAAAAACGTTTTCACATTTATATAGACAATTCATTGTACATAGTATTCCGGCTCTTGTCTGTCCACACAACGGTAAGTTACTACATCACACCATACTCCGTACACTGTGCACCATACACTGACACCATACACAAAACGACGTAGAAAGTAGAACGTAAAACGTAGGACGGGACCTCAGAAGTCAGTGTCTGTATTAACGATATAAATTTAACTTTACAAAACTTTGAAAATAAAATTGGATAGTCAGCTCGTGCTACTACATCTTGGAAAGCCGGTTTTAAGACGGACGGAAGCCTAAACTCAGGTGAATAAATACGGGTAGTGTAGAGGTACCAAAGAGGGTGTTCGAAGGGGTCCAGAATAGGAAAACTGAAAGAAACTATGGAATAACGTGAGAACAATTATCACAGTAAATTTAAAATACAAATAGACGAAATAACACCGTAAATGTGACAATACCTCCCCCCTTATGGAAAAGTATGCTAATACTTTAGAACACACATTTAAGAAAGATTAAAAACAAGAGTTCATATATACACAAATTGACACAAGTCATCACTGCCTACTAAGATAATCTGCTCCTTGATTATCCCTTCCCCTAATGGCGATAACTCGGTATCTATATGATTGAAGACCAAGTGCCCATCTCATGATCCTAGCGTTGATAACTTTGGCTTTGTTCAAATACATTAACGACTGATGATCTGTTTCGATGAGGAACTCGCGTCCATAAAGATACAGATGGAACTTTTGGACTGCCCAAACAATTGCCAAGCATTCTTTTTCGATTGTAGAATACTTACTTTCACTGTCCTTCAACTTTCGACTTGCATACGCCACCGGAAGTTTCAAACCACTATGTTCATCAAACTGCATCAGCACAGCTCCGATTCCCCTATCCAATGCGTCAGTCTGAAGAATGAACTGTTTTGATAAATCTGGCAGTTTAAGAATGGGTGATTTCAAAAGCATTGCCTTAAGTGATTGAAATGATTTTTCCTGAGGTTGATTCCAAATAATTTTATTTGGCGACCCCTTCTTTGTCAGATCAGTGAGGGGTAGTGCAACAGACGAAAAATTGGGAATGAATTTCCTGTAGAAACTAAGGAGTCCTAAAAACGATCTTAACTGACGTTTAGTGCTTGGTGCTGGTGCCTCTTGAATTGCTCTTACCTTGTCTGGGTTTGGTTTTAACTGGTTCTCACCTACGATATGGCCTAAGCACTCTAAACTCTTGTACCCTATTGCACACTTGGAAGGTTTTGCCGTCAAATTGGCGTTTCTCAGTCTGGTAAAGAGTTCGTGAAGAACTTCCAAATGCTGATCTAAGTCCTCTGTAAAAACAATGATATCATCGATAAAATTATCAATGTTTGACATTCCGTACAACAACTTACGCATCAGTCTGGAAAACGTTGCCGGTGCTGTCACCAAACCAAAGGGCATCACTCGAAATTGGAAGAGGCCTTTGGATGTCTGAAACGCTGTTTTTTGGTTTAGCTGACGATGTTAATGGAACCTGCCAGTAGCCTTTGGATAAGTCGATCCTTGAAAATACCTTGTAGTTGGCAAACTTTGAAAAGATATCATCTGCGTTTGGCATCGGTTCTGCATCGAACTGTGAACATGCATTGATAGCTCTAAAATCTACGCAGAAACGAAAAGTGTCATCTTTTTTCTTCACAAGGACAACTGGAGAAGAAAATGGACTTTCTGATGGTTCAATGACATTCAATTCCAACATTTTATCAACTTCCTTATCAGCTATTTCCCTCATTGAAAATGGAATTGCATAAGATTTAACTCTGATTGGTTGACTTGAGTTTATCTTAATGTCGTGTTCAATCAAATGGGTATAGCCAGGATCATCAGACAATACATCAGTAATCTGATCCAAAAGCGATGTTACCTTTTTTCTGTCTTCAGGTGATAACTCTGGGTTGATGTCCACACCTTTGGTATTCCCAACACTCGCTATGCCATACTCGTCATCATCCTCCTCGGCAGCACAGTCAATTACAGCAGATGTGACTAGAGCTTCATCATCCTGATCTGATTCCCCTGAATCATCATTCCTGTTAATGTACCTTTTAAGCATGTTTACATGAAACGTCTTCAATTTACCTTTCATTTCAATCTGGTAGTCAACTTTGTTTAACTTCTTCTTGATGCTGAAAGGTCCTTTCCATTGCATCAGTAACTTATTTGAATCTGTGGGTAGCAATACTAAAACTTTATCTCCTACCTTCATACTCCTTGCTCTAGTTGACCTGTTGTAGAACCTCGCCTGTCGCATAGAAGCTTTCTCCAAGTTTTCTCTGGCTATCTCTGCCGTTGTCTCAAGTCTCTCTCGTAAATCTAACACATACTGATAAGTAGATTTTACCTGATCATCGTCTATCTCTTTTGTCCAAAGCTCTTTTAAAATGCCCATGGGCCCTCTTATGTGTCTTCCATACACTAAGTCAAAAGGCGAAAAACCCAAACTTTCTTGCGGCACTTCCCTGTAAGCAAACAATACTGGGTTAATATATTTATCCCAATCACGTGGACGATCGGAGCACATACGTTTTAACATTTGTTTGAGGGTTCCGTTAAACCTCTCAACCAAGCCGTTTGTCATAGGGTGGTAAGGGGTAGTAGTGAGTTGATTTAACGATAGTAGCCGACTTACCTCTCTCATAATTGATGATGTAAATTGAGAACCCATGTCGCTCAACATTTCCTCGGGAACTCCAATTCTAGAAAATATGTCTATGAGCGCCTCCGCAACTCTCTCCGTTTCAATGGACGGCAGTGGTACAGCTTCAGGGTATCTAGTAGCAAAATCGACCAAAGTAAGAATATACCTATTCCCTTTGTCGGTAATTGGATGCATAGGTCCGACGATGTCTACGGCAACTCGATTGAAAGGAACATCAATAAGTGGCATCTTCTGAAGGGGGTACTTAGAAACCTTACCTTTTTGTATGGTCCTTTGACAGATGTCACAAGAACGACAAAACATCTTGACATCAGTCTGTAGTCCAGGCCAGTAGAATTCAGAAAGAATTCTTGACGATGTACGTGATATAGCCAAATGACCAGACATGATTGACTCATGTGCCAATTTCATGACAATTTCCCTGAATTTCTTTGGGACTACAAGCTGTTTGTAAGACTTACCTGATTCAGTCTTGGTTTGATATTCACGATATACAAACCCATTCAGCATGAACCATCGTATTGTTGCAGTTCGTTTGTCAACCACTTGTCCGGAACTTGCCCATTGTCGCATTCTCTGCAGTGAGTCATCGGTTTGTTGTTCTAGTTTAATCTCGTCTGGAGTGATGTTTCCCTTAAGTATTTCTGGAACTTTGAGTTGAGGATACTGTTTTAATTTTACCTTTGCTTGTTGACGGGTTTCAACAGCATTTGCCTCTGACCATTCAGGATCAGGATCTCCAGGTGCTCGTACCTTAGCTACATTCCCGATGATTAAATCGTAGACTGGCTTCTCCATACACCATGCCTCAAATGTTCCTGTAATATAGGGCGTGTTAACAAAGATGGAAGCAACTGGTACTCTAATAGATGAACCATCTGCCAAAATACATGTTTGAAACTTATCTTGAATCAAATTTGCTTCATCAATCTTACTTCTTCGAACTACTATGCCGCTGAATCTTGTGTCTCTTAGTACCGTAACTGGCTTACCTTCAACAAAACTTGCTGATACTGGCATGTTGTGTTGCAGTTGGTAGCATGATGATGAAACTCTTGTTGATGCATCAAGATTCAAAGAATTGGTTCCAGTGTCTGTTGGCAATGTGCTTACAAATGTTACCTTTGCTGTATGTTCCTCTGTACTAGATGAAGTATCATGGTTTTCCTTCTGTTCTTGCGTTGTTACAGCTCCTATCTTCGGTTTTGATCTGCATTCCGATGCAATGTGCCCTATTCTGTTGCATTTAAAACAACGTCTTTCCGATTTTGGAACAAATGACTTGTTTGAATTTTGTATTTTCTTCTCACCTGAAAAGTCTTTGTGATTTCCAGAACGAAACTTAAATGGGTGTTGAAATTCGTTGCCTTTGACGTTGCTGAGGGTCGCAGCGTTGGCCATCCTTGCTTCTCGATACTGGTCTGCTAATTGTGCCATCTCCTGTATACTCTTTGGTGTTCTCTCTTTTAGAAACAAAGTCAAATCTCTGTTACAAGTATTCAAGAACTGATCACGCAATACTAAATTAAATAATGCCTCAAATGTTTCTGCTATTTTGGCCATTTTTAACCACCTTAGCAAATAACTACTCATTCTAACAGAAAATTGTACGAATGTCTCACCCGTTTCTGGTTTTGCTGATTTGAACTTGTGTTTAAACCCATCCTCTGTAAGCTCATAGCGTTTGAGGAGTGCTATCTTCAGGTTGTCATAATCTAAAGCATCATCTGCTGGTAATAATGCATAAATATCGAGAGCCCTACCTTTAAGGAGTGCACTTAGACTCATAGCCCAAGATGTTTTCGGCCACTTTTGTAACTCTGCATATCGTTCAAATCTACGTAAATAGCTGCCCATTTCATCCTTCCCATCCTCAAAAGCCGGGATTTTTGGACCTTTGAACTTAACAGTTACCTCCTCAACCCCTGCTATTTTCAACTTCTCTTTCTCATGAAGCATTTCCATTTGTTGTTGATGAGTCAGCTGCTGCAGCTGCATCTGTTTATCATGTTTCTCCTTCATCCGCTGGTACTCTAGCTCCTCTTTCAGACGTTCTCTTTCTGCCAGCCGCTCTTCTCTCTGAATATCCTGTTGGTGTCTAACGAATTCTCTAAGAGTATCTTCTTTGTAACCTAACGATACTCCGTAATCAATAATCTCTTTCAAAGCTTCTGCCATGATCAAAATTCACAAAACACAAAATCATACATACAAACAATAAAAGACAACTGAAATTAGAAATTTCCCCACATACCAGTCTCTACACACCTGAGTTTAGTTGCTAAACTATACATGCACTTTTATTTACTTACGCGATACGCGATGTGAAAACGCTAACTACTTACAGACACACAACTTACTGAAGTGCTGAATTTGGAAATTTCGTAATATCAGCGTCAACTGCTGACCTCCGGGTCCCGAACAACTAGGTCACCAACTAATCTACAAAATACAGTGAAAACAATTGAATGGAAATTAAACAAGTGATATTTCAACAAAATATGTTTCTTTGATTGATAAACAAAATTCAATATAAAATTCAAATTATCAAAGTTTGAAATTCAATTGAATTTAAATTATTCAAAAATCAAAAATACAAATGTTAATTTTGACAATAAAGGCAAACACTAGCACATTAGGAATTCTGTTCAATGTCTTGGGTCAAATCCAACGCATGAAGAAAGGTTTCCCTCAAAAGATCAAAGTTCCCTCAGGCACTGTTTCCAGTTGAACTTCCAGGATCTTGATTGTCCGTTGGGTTGTCTCTTTGGAGTTGTAGCCCAAACCATTGGAAATTCCGTTGATTTGATCCCAAATGCTCCAGAGATCCTAGACATACCACAATGCTCCAGAGATTCTAGACATACCACGTGTCCCAGACATCACAAGTCGAAGAGATTCCACAGGTCGTCGTGATACCACTCGTCGACGTTATCGTGCTTGTTGTTTTCCTTTGATCCTACATGTTGAAGAAATCCCACTTCTGACACCATTTGTTGCGGGTTCTTTCCCTAGTGATTTCCAAATAATCAAAAAAACTCAAAAAACGTTTTCACATTTATATAGACAATTCATTGTACATAGTATTCCGGCTCTTGTCTGTCCACACAACGGTAAGTTACTACATCACACCATACTCCGTACACTGTGCACCATACACTGACACCATACACAAAACGACGTAGAACGTAGAACGTAGGACGGGACCTCAGAAGTCAGTGTCTGTATTAACGATATAAATTTAACTTTACAAAACTTTGAAAATAAAATTGGATAGTCAGCTCGTGCTACTACATCTTGGAAAGCCGGTTTTAAGACGGACGGAAGCCTAAACTCAGGTGAATAAATACGGGTAGTGTAGAGGTACCAAAGAGGGTGTTCGAAGGGGTCCAGAATAGGAAAACTGAAAGAAACTATGGAATAACGTGAGAACAATTATCACAGTAAATTTAAAATACAAATAGACGAAATAACACCGTAAATGTGACACAAACCCAAACCACATGGTTTTATACACGTCCTTCAATTAATTTATTCATAATTATTTTCCTTGAAGGAGAAATGCATTCATAAAAGATCAAAGAAAATTCCTGATGTACAATAGCATCCATGCTTTTAGTACTTACATATTGTGCTTGAAGTTGAATAAAATCAACAAATAAATTTAATTTAAATAAGAAAGGGGGGTTATATTTAATAAAATAAATTAGACTATAATTGATACAGGGAGACTTTCTGTTAAATACATGAATGTACTTGAACAAAATGCCTCTCTCTTGCCTTCTTTCGTACATTTATTTTTTAAGCCAGGAAAAGTAATGTGTGTTATATATAAGTTCATAATTTTAAAGAAAATACAAATGTATATGAGTTATATACGATAAACGATACAAATGGTTTGACTATGGTGCCGGGTATTATTTTAATAGTTTAAATTAAGTTGTAAAGGTGTACATGATAAGTTTTTATATTCAGTAGCTGCAGATTTTTATATAAGTTCTTAAATTTTCGATTCTGGACATAGGATGAGAGTTTATTACTACTTACATGTACATTGTATAAATTGGTACCGATATTTAATCACGGAACAAAATTACAATGTTAGCACACTACAGCGTATACTAATAATTTACAGGATTTGAATTAAATTATTTTACAAATTAAGTTCATTGCTTTAAAATCTTGAATTATTTTTTCAACTTTACTAGTATGGAACCTGTAATATAGAATGCATTAAGCAGCACAGAAGCCACTTATGAACTTAACACGTGCCGGAGTTACCTATTATCGATGTTTAATCTATTTCATTGACTATAATTCCATTCTTATGATTTGGAAGATTCTCTTTAGAAGTTTAAAATTGGTATAGACATGGTAAAAATCTGTGATGGAAAAAAAATGTGTTTGGGAAAATTTGTGTTGAAAACGGATTTATTTGTGTGTGAAAAGGGAAAGCTTATGTATTTAAATCAATATTGGTTGAAGTAAAGTAACCACAGATTGCTATAGTCCTTACGCCATGAATCGTCAAAATAAAAAGTAAAATTACACATGGAGCTAACGAACATTTAAAAACTGAAGACCGATTAATATGATTAATGTACTGAGTACATGTAAGGAAAATGCCCCAGGGTTTTGTGCTGAAGTCAAACCTAAGACAATTTAAGATTTTTTTAAAGATTCGATTTACTTAAAGAAAATAATATTTTCCCGTAAGTTTGTAAATTAGACACGTCTACCACCCGGCGAAATTAATGTCAACAAGCGATGGAAAGAATGGTTGGTGGCGTAATTGTAAACAAACACAAAACCTAGATAGCTGTTTTAGTTAAAATATGTATCACGTTCAAATTTCAAACAAAGTTAAGCCAACATATTAATCTCAAGTATTCAACAATAAGAATTTTCCATTCATTGTCGTGCTGTAGAAAGGTTTTAATATATCAATTATTTTGCCTACGACTGCAGGGTCAATGGTTCACCGCGGAGTGTCGCTTTAGATTTCTCGGCTGCGTGTAATCGACGGATAGATTACGTAATGGTTTACATGCTTAGAATCTGTTCCAGGTGAATGTGAGAATCGAGCAGTAAATAATGGTGTATTATTTTACTCTTTAAAAAGTTTCTTTGAGATCTGGGTGTATATTGTTTTCATTAAATTTGTTTGTGTTCATTTTAAACAAAGAAAAGATACTCATACTTCTATCACTCTCTCTCTCTCTTGGAAAGATCTTTATTAATAAAAAGAAAAAGTTGCTATTGAATACTCTACGGGAACCAAAAAACACGTTTAAAACCTAATCCAAAAAAAAAAAAATATGATCAGCGTTGTAAAATATTTTTCATTTATGGCATGTTTATTTCAATTATACGCATAAGAAGTTCTGCTTCCATAGCAAAATGAGAACGATGCCATGTTTACGGATCTACCTTTTTTTTCTTACCATACCTAAGACTCGATCAAAATAATATTTTTATAGGATAGAAATGATATAAAGGAACAATTTATAATCGACAACCATATCAAAATATTTACCGTTTTTGAGTTATAAAGCAAAAACTTTCAAGGCCCCTTGATTTTAGGGACCAGCCCCTTTTCAATGATATCAAATGAAAGCTCTTGCAATTATGCACAACTTTTACTCAATATGTCTTAACAAAATATTTTTAGTTTTCAAGATATAAGGTAAAATATGTGTAATTTTTCACTCTTTTATGCGTTCTAATTTTTGACCCCTATATAGCGCCATTTTGAATAAAGAAATCGGAAAAAAAAACTGGCATGCACAACTTCAATCCTTCTGTTATCCAAAATCAGTAGAATTTCTGCTCCAGCTTTTGTGGTGTCTGAGCCTTTATCTGGAAATGAGAGCCTATAAATTTTCATTTAAAAGGAAATAACTCAAAAGCGGGAGTACATTTTTGAAATATTAGACGGTATTCTGATAGAGTGTATCGATGTGTATAATGTCTGAAAATTTGAGCAAAATCCGTTGAGAAATGACTGAAATATGAGGCCTCAAAGTTGGCGTCTAGGAAAAGGAAAAAAAAAGAATAATAAGAATAATCTTAATCATCAGAATCAGTAGAAGGTCTTCCGTTAGAAACGGAAGACCTTAATAATAAAGTATGCCTTAATATTACCACCTTTATTTCTGTATTAAATAAAAACAATACATAATATTTTCCATATCACACCTCATATCACCTGGAAACACCAATATCAACTCGAGAGCCAGAGGAATGGATAGTAATATTTAAAACTGCTACTCAAGTCTACAGAGAAATAGGTTTAAAAAAGAGCACATTTTAATGAATACATTGTTGTTGTACAATGATCACTTTATTATCAATATTTGTTCGTGTTTTAATTTTTTGTGTCATCAAAATAATTTCATATTTACACCGCTTTAATATGCTTAACACGTATTTAAATTTTTATTATCATTGTTTTATTCTGATCATGATTTCTTTTCAAAGTGTGTTCTATTTTTCTTTATTTTATTAATTAAGAGTTCTTAGGAATGATGACAACTAAATGCACGGAACAATCCATATATTACTGTTCGTATGATAAAAGAAATAATTCAATCACTTTCAGATTTCCAGAGGAAGTCATCTAAAGCGAACACAAGGACGGAGAAAGATGGAAAAGCTCGAACACCATCTCCTAGAAGCCCTGTGTCAGATCAGAGTGAAACGGAGGATGTTCATCCTAACCACGGAGAAGTGCTAGAAAACAAAATTAAGGTCCAACAACAGACAGAAGAGAACTTGAGAAAAGAAATTTTGTATCTTGAAAATGTCAATACATTCAGTCTCAAGCTGCCGAAATGAAGAAACTGAAAGTAAGATACTTCTTTGTTTTTGAAAAGAAAATCATAATACACTTAATCTTAAGGATGGATTCTTGTCAGCATTTTACGTCGTCAATGGGTCTCCATACATTATGCATGTCGTAAAATGTAAATTTCTTATTTGTTCCCATCAGATGAAATACTTGAGATATTTTTATTTTTAAGCAAAATATAAGATTTATTTAAATCACATAAATAAATATTTCATCTATTTTCTCTGTATTGCGACAACCGGTCGCAATGGTAAACATCGCTGTCAACTATGGAGCAACCCCGTAAAAAGGGTCGTTTCGCAAAGTCTACCAAGTATAAGCAGTATGAAAGAGTCACAGAAGCACAGAGACAGCGGTGGCAAAAAGAAGATGTGATTCTGCATCATAATTATTCACAGAATGAATGTTCCCGTAGCGATAAACCAAATGAAAACCCCTGCGATAGGCCGTCTGTGGTCTGCAGTGCGGGTGATGGTGTACCTTTAACTGACGTAGCTTCGTTTGATGTATGCAGTGAGCATGTAAGTTATGTCTGATACTTTTTATCATTTTGAAATCGCATATGTCTTTATATTTCTACACAAGGCCTACTTCGCATGCAAATAAAAATGTTTTAATACTGTACCATCGTCTGCTTATTCCTGCGATCAGTTTAATTCAGTGTTGAGTGTATATACATAACACAAGTCAGCAACGATCAGTTTGTGGATACTACTGATATAAATTATGAATAATACAATTCTTTTTTTTTTTAAATAAATCATTTGAGACTACAATATTCAGATTGTTCATCAGTCTTTAGCTGTTTTATTGTGTGTTTGGAAAAAAGTAAGGTACCTTGTAAGGGTGCAAAATCAAACGGAATGTGGAAAAAAAAAGTAAATTCAACATTGTAATATTTGACTCAATAAATGGACTCAGCAGTATTGAATCACAAAAAAAGATAAATCACAGTAACAAATAAAGAAAAACAATATGTATATGTTCCCTGACAATTCCATTTAATTTTTTTTAAGTGTTATCTAGAATTTAGAAAAAAAGGTTTACAAGAATAAATCAATGAAAACAGACAAGATTTGACATTTTTTTACTCCAATTTTTAATGAATTAATAAATAAAAAAGATATGTAGATATTTATGTTTAACATACATGTTTTAAATGTAAGAGATTTGTTCCTAGGAAAGAAACAAGCCTAGACTGGACAAGGACTGGAGGGCAGGACGTAGAGTTATTGAATTAGGAGTGCTGGCAGATGGACTGTCCGGGTGTAAAAAGTGTGGTCTACCCCTCCAACTGTCTCATTGCACAGGAATTATAACCTTTGGTCTTGCAGCTATGCTCAAGATACCATGCATGAATACCCAATGCCAATATGTTAACAATGTGCCTACTGGAAAGAGACACAATAGAGTCTGGGATGCTAACAGCAAGCTAGCTGCAGGTGATTTGTTATAACATTGACAAATATTCTACGTTTGTGAATTCCTGTTGACCTATATTTATTTCTACGCATTTATTTGAAATTCCTCTGCAGCTGTCCAACATACTGGTATTGGTTATGAACAGATCAGTGGAATACTTGCTGAATTAAATGTCCCACCTGTCAGTCGAACATTACTGAGTAGCAGGCAGGAAGAGGTTGGATCTGCCACAGAGTCAGTTGCAACAGAAACAATTCAGGAAGCTCTTGAACAGGAAGTCCTGACAACATCTATGTAAGTACATGTACTACCGGTAATCAAGTAAATTTTGGTAAAAAATGCTGTGCAGTGAAAAACATTACATGTATTTGGATTAATTAAACATGTATTGAAAATGAATAGTGAATCACAATATGTTGAAAAAATAACAATCGCCAATTGTTTTAATTTCACGCTGCAAGAACTTCAATAATTTTAATTTTGTACATGTATATACATATATGTATATATATATATGCATTCAAATGTTTTTAAAAACCAATGATAGCATTCACTATGGTATTAATTTCTGATTTTTTCTTGCTTGTAAGTACTCTTGTGAATCATAGCCTATGAGCCTACCTCTTGTCTAAAAGATATTCATTAATTAATAATTATTTAATTTTTAAGGAGCAATCAATCTTCCTCCATTACTGTGAGTGTAGATGGGGCATGGCAAAAGCGAGGAAGTGGGAGGTCATATGACAGCCTTACTGGTAAATTTATTTTTATACCTATAGATGTTGAGTGTAGAGAGAGTTACTGGGGGGGGGGGGCGTCATGATGATTTATCGTCATTAAACATAATTTTATTCTCAAAGTTGTGTCACAAAGATCTTTTATATGCTTGATTACTAGCTATATTCTCTCATGTTTTTTATGTTATGTTACAGGACACTGCTCAATGATAGGAAGCCAGACGGGAAAAATTGTGGGTTATAGCTTTAGGAACAAATCATGTAGAATTTGTGAACGAGCAGAAAAAAACAACCAAGCCCCAGTTCCACATGAATGCAAAAGGAATTGGACAGGTAATTATAATTCCTCAGATTTAATATTGGTCTCCCTGCAAAGGTTAATTTTGGGGATTATGAATACAGAAAAACAGTATTTTTTGTACCAATAATTTTGATATTTCTACTTTAAAATCAGCCCTTTCTTAGAACATTTTAAAACCCCTGCTTCTAATGAGAGGGGGATATACTGTTTAATCCTTGTGTTTCTGTCAGTGTAGCAAATTTTTGTATCAGTTTTCTCTGAAACTACTCATCGCAGATGCTTGAAATTAGCACTCTCTGTAATTAGCTCACCTGAGCCAAAGGCTCGGTATGTCCGTCTGTTCGTCCGTCCATCTGTCTGTTACGCTTTTGGGTACCAGAAGGATATGGAAATAACGAACAGTATTCAATCTCAACGTCCATTAAACAAACATACAAAACAAGAGCAGAGCAAACACGGACCTCCGAAACATCAGAGGTGGGATCAGGTGCCATGGAGGAGTGAGCATCCCCTGCCGACCAATCTTTTATTCACAACTCCTCTTATACCATGGAGTGAAATTTAATGAAACTTTCACAGAATATATATTACATATTGGCATTGTACACCTTTTATTTTACTTTTTGATTGGACACATATTTTGGGTTTACCATAGCAAAACATAGACACTGCTATTTTATAGCAGGCAAGGGGTGTCATTTAGTGAGCTCATTGCTCACAGTACCTCTAGTTTAAGCTTGTCCCATATGGAGTATGATCTGACAGAATAACGCTGTAATAAAATGATATGTGTATTTTAAAAGAAGAGCTTCCTTTGGAATTCAATGATTAATAATAGTCCATGCAATTTTTACAGGTAGCTCCAAGTCCATGGAATCTGACATGGTGGTGGAATTGGTTAAATCAACATTGAAGAAAGGGATTCAAGTAGAGGCACTAGTTGGGGATGACGACACAACCACAATGTCAAGAATTCATAAAGAAATAGACCCAAGCATCAAAAAGCACTCCGACAAAAATCAGATTAAAAAAAATGTATCCAGTTCACTCTATGCGCTGCAAAAGAAACACAACAGTTTATCATCAAAAGTGATAAAATACATTCAGAAGTCTTTCAACTATATGATCTCTCAAAACCAGGGGAATCCCACCGGGATAGAGAAAGGCCTTGATGCTCTGGCTCTTCACCCATTCAATGACCACAGCCAGTGTAGTGAAGTATGGTGCCACCAAAAAAGAAATACAACAAAGAAATACAGTTCACTACCCTATGGACGGCCTTTAGAGAGTGAGAACCTAAAGCAAGATCTTTTAAGCATTTTCAACAGACTAAAGAAACATAGCACCAACCTTGCCAATCTTGGAAGCACCCAAGCAAATGAAAGCTTCAACAAGACAGTAGCTTCCAAGGCACCTAAATCCCGCCTCTTCAGTCGTACTTTTGGCTACAGAGTTGCAGCTAGTGTAGCACAGAAAAACCTAGGGCAACGGTATTTGATTGAGGTACACTTTATAACTTAAATATATTTAAATTTCATCCTATTGATTACTGTGGTTTCATCAATATTCGTTGAGCATCAATTTTCAAGAATCTTGTTGTTGAGCAGATTCATGAAATTAAATGTTCATTGAATTAAAAAATTATTCAGTTGTATTCTCGAAAATGTCTGATATACAAAATCCACGAAAATTGAAGCAAACAAAAATTGATGAAAGCACAGTAATAGATTTGATCACTCATTTGATCCTCTGCAGCACAGGGTAATTTGCTAAATGTAGTCATTCTTACTTTCTGTAACTGTTTTTGGCTGTGTTGCATTATTTTGATCACTCTATTATGAAGCATCATGCATCTGTGAAATTTAGCTTTCATGTAATGCAATACTGGGTATATGTTCTATGTGGATTTTTTTTTAAATTTAGGTCAACAAAAAAATGGGATTATCACCAGGCGGACACACCAAAAAATTGACTGCAAAAAAGGACAAGTCTGCTGGTCGTAAAAATGCATTGTCACTAACTACGAAGGCAAAGAGGAGGAGATTATTTCTCAAGGCAGAAAGGTGACTAGGTTGATACAATATACTTTAAATATGTATGAAAATTTTACATTTCTCTTGAAAGTTAATACATAAGATTTTATTTTTACAAAATTTAAGGAAACAAGTGATAGCCTGCAAAGAAACAAGAGAGGGGCCAACTTACTCTTGCGGTATTGGTTTGCATACTGGGAATGACACTGAAACCATTCCAGCTCCTGTTACCCAGCCCCTAAAACAGCCTCTACAGATTTCTAAAGAGAATCCTTTGATCTTTTTTGACCTTGAATCAACAGGACTAGGTATGTGATTTTTACATTGTGTTTAATATTTTAAAAAAAACATCATAGAAACATTTTTTCCCTTCAGTATTACTGAAACTAATGCTTATGTTAATAAATTGGAGAAGAACATGAACATTTGTGAATATTAATTATGAACAGTTTAAGTTTCTTCATTTTTAGCAAGGACCTCTCATATCACACAGATGGCAGCTGTGTTTGAAGAGGAAGTGTTCTCAGAATATGTCACGCCAGAGGTTCCTATCACACAGAAAGCTGCAGAAGTCACCGGAATTACATTTTTAGCAGGAAAAATGTATTGTAGAAATGTTGAAGTTAATGCTCTCAAACTCACTGCTGCTGTCAATTCCATTCTTGATTTTTTCTCAAAGTTTCAGTCAAAGGTAGTTTTGATTGGTCATAATGTTAAATCATTTGATTGTCAATTATTTTTAAATGCTGTTGAGGCTTGTGGGAAAACTGATGAATTTTCAAAATGCATAGCTGGATTTATAGACACAAAGTTACTTTTCAAACTTTTTGATCCAGAATTAAAATCTTACTCACAGAGTGAACTTTTCAAGCACTATCTTTCATTAGATTGCAGTGCTCATAATGCTCTGGATGATGTGATGGCATTACAGAAACTTGTGAATTCTGTTGGGATTGATGTAACCAGCTCCATGTATTCAGCTGCTTCTTTAACATTTTCAAATGCTTTTGAAAACTTTAAGTACAGTTCTGAGGTTCATAAAAATGCACCTTCTTTAGAACATTTAGTTAGGGAGAAGATTTTAAGCAAGAGCATGGCCAACAAAATTGCAGGTATTGGGTTAAACTTTAGGTTTTTGCAAATGGCCTACACTAGAAACCCTCAGGATGGAATTCTGAATTTACTTTCAGAGCAAATAGTAGACACTGATCATGTTCGTGTTACAAAGTCTCAAAAAGTAATTTCATGCTTGAACAAATATTTTGCTTCCAAATGTGAAAGTTAACTAGATTTCTGAAAATTTGTAGAATTTTCAAAGGAATTGTCATTTTCAGGGTAACTATATCATTGTGCATGTATATGCAAATGTTGACCAGTACATTGTAACACAATATTTGAAAAAAAGTAAGTGTTATGTGATTACCAGGTAGCAAGATTTCGAACATTAGTAGAATTTTCAAAGGATGTCATTTTCATGGTAACTATATCATTGTGCATGTATATGCAAATGTTGACCAATAAATCATGTACATTGTAACACAATATCTGAATCAAAGTAAGTGTTATGTGATTACCAGGTAGCTAGATTTCTGAACATTAGTAGAATTTTCAAAGGATGCTATTTTCATGGTAACTATATCATTGTGCATGTATATGCAAATGTTGACCAGTACATCATGTACATTGTAACAAAATATTTGAATCAAAGTAAGTGTTATGTGATAATGAATGATATACCGGGGTATTTTTATTACAGTTGAAGATTGTTTTTACTTTATACTTATAATTGTGTATGTAGAGTATGGATTTTATGAATGTAAAAAAGTTAAAGTATGTTAAATGTTATGTAGATGTATATTTATTAATTTTGTACACTAAGACTATTTATTTAAGTTATGATTTTTCTAAGAAGTATTGAAAGGTTTATCAAATCTAGCTATTAATTATTCCTTAATATTTAACTGTTTAATGTAAATTAAGTTCCTTTGAATAAGCTAAATTTTTCAATGAATAAATTGTATGAAAAATTTCCTAAAATTTCGACATGAAAGATTTTTCTCATATGAATAGCACTATAAGCATAAATTATATGACAGAGGAAATTCGGAATTTAGATGTCAGTTGTGTGAAATACCTGTGAAATAAATATTTATTTATGTAAGTATAATAAATAAAGGTATGTGTGTCTTCATTTATATCCATGATTTGTTATCTTTATGTGGTTATTTATTTTAGGAAGATATTATAAAATAATTCATACATTTATGACTTTTAAGAAAATTTAGAGAAAATTCGGGTTAATTTTTTTCAATAATTAGTCCGATTACCTTATCATTTTAACCTTGTAAATTAATCTTAAACATTTGATGAATCAACAGTGAGAAATGTAAATATTTGACATTATATGCTCAATTGTAAAAATTGAGATGAAATTTAATGTGAATTCATGAAAAATCAGATTTTTTTCCGAAAATTCGAGGAAATTCGGATTAAGTATATTTGTTGAATATCGATGATTTCATGTTTTCTTTCCACTAACTCAATTCATGTAAGTTAGTGATCAATAATGAGTTAAAACTTTAATTTTAGTAAGCAAGGTATTTTTTCTGACACCAAAATTTATTCCTATGCCAAAATTTCAATACTTTTCTGTGTAAAAGTACTTTTTTTTTAGGACTGACTTTCAAATGACCTTGACTGAAAATCAAGGCCGATTTCACCAAAGTTTTTCGATGTTAAAAAAGTAAACACAGTCTGAATAATGAGTATTCAGAAAATCAAGATTCTGCAATTATAAGAAATATGAGAAGAATCCATCCTTAAACACGCCTGTTAATCGATCAATTGCACAACTAGCAGTTGTGTATAACAATCAAAAGAGATCGATTTCTGGTTAATAATTCCAATACACAGGAAGTAAATGGACCCGATTTAGACAATAATTGATATTTTTATTAAAGTACAACAATGTGATCCCATGAGCAATTTATTTTTCTTTAATTTTACACTCATAAAATGCAGTGATTGACGATTGTTGATGGTCCTTCTACATCAGATACGTACATTTCCTTGCCATACCTCTATATACTTTCCATAGTGTTTCATTCTTCGAAGGATTGCTATTTATTGTATTTACTCAGTGTGTTTTGGTCCTTCTTCTAATATAGCATAGAATTATATCAAAACTGTAGGAGTAGCATTTTGAAGAATTGGTTACAGACAAACAGACGGAAGACAGTTGTCTCCATTGCAGACTCTGATATTGCGTCAATGGCTTCCACAGTCCCGCCTACAGCATCCAATGTAACAACAATGTGCTCCATAAACTGACCTACAGAACCCAACATAGCAACAAGAGCTTCCTAAGAGTCGCCTACAGCACCCTATGTATCACCAAGGTCCTCCGTAGAGACGCCCAATGTAACATAATCAGCTTCCTTTAACTCGGCTGCAGCATCCAATGTGGCATAAAGGGCTTCCTTCGAGTGTCCTACAGCAGCCAATGAGACCAACAGTTTTCTTAGACTCGTACTTGGATGGGAATTTACCGCCACAAATGTAGAATGTGTTCAATCGAGATAATGACACAAAGAGGAACAATCTGGATGAAGGTAAGACAATGGAAATGAACTAATACAAACTTTTAAACCTTAAGTGATGTTGCACCAATATAATGTCCCAGTAAATAAACTACTCGATTTATATCGGGTATGATATAACGCTTTTGCTAGCACGTTGATTATAATACAAATTTGGATCAAAATTCTCTGATCAGTACAAGTCTATAAACAATCTTATAGAGTGCTGATTCAATATATAAGACACAAGTTGTTACATGTTATATGCCCCCTTTCTTCGAAGAAGGGAGGGCATATTGCTTTGCTGCTGTCGGTTGGTAAGTCTGTCGGTTACCCATCAGTGTTTAACATATAAACATCTTTTGTTATTGATAGGATTCCATCATTAATGGAATAATAGTGTTGGCACCAAGCATCCAAAGTTGTGGATATTCATCCGCAAATTGAAGGATGTCGAACGCTTACAGAGGGTGGAGGAGAAGACAGCAGCACGCGGGGAGCCCCGACCTGTCTCCAAGAGGAGGTGGAAGAGAGGACAGCAGCACGCGGGGAGCCCCGACCTGTCTCCAGGAGGAAATGGAGGAGGCTTCAGAGAAAACCATTCGTCTCAAAGAACAATACAACCAAGGTCAGACAACTCTTGCGATAGTTCCCGATTTCGTGAAGCATATCGATGTAAAGTATACGTAACCTGTCAATATATTCTTTTGATAGTTTATGAATAATCGCACTAAAAGAAGGATAAACATTGGTATTAATCTACTATTTAAGGTCTGAAAATATTATGACGTTTAATAATAAAACGCATTTTTTCATTGTTAAAGAATTTCTCAATCTGCCTTTCACAGCACATGAAAAAGTTTATGTTCGGTATTTTTTACAAGTCCAACATGCATAACAAGTGATATCTTAAAAAGTCTTTGTGTGAAAATGTTGTAATTCATGTTTTTTGAAAGAAATGATTCATCTCTTTATTTTAACAAAGAAAAAAAGTATTCCTTTATGATAAAATAGTCGAGAATTGTGACGTTTTTCTTTAATTTCGTACTATTTAAATTTTTTTTTGGTCATAAATATTGACTTTTCTGCACTAAAAAAAGTAAGAACGCACTGACCAACATCTGAATATAAAACTATTTTGCAAAAAACGAGTATTTTGTTTGATTAGCTGTATCGGGATCGATGTTCTGTTTGTGTTCAGATTGGTTTTGTTTGTAGTATGTGTTAATGATTTCCGGTCATGATACGGATTTGGTAGATTGTATAATATTGCTCATAGGGGATTGGAGTTTGATATGCTCTTCCCTCCTTTTCTTTAAACTTATTTGTGGTTCTTTCCAAACTTGCATGTTTTTAACTGCCCTTAATAATGATATTTTCATAAAATTCAAGGTCACTAAAAAGTGATATAGATTTATAGAGTTGGCCAAGTTGTTGCCTAGTTGCCTAGAGAAATGCAAGTGGTGAGCCACGCCAATCATCAGTGATTAGATCCGCAGACAAAACAATGGCGGTGAAAGGACTACTATATGACAGCACCAAACTGGACGTAGTTAAAGTTGGAAGAGCGGTCATGTTGCTCAATGTAATAATGAGGTATTCACAAACAGGAGCAAAATCTGAAAGACCGTACCCCTGGATGTCCCAAAGTCCCTGATAAGACACATTCTGCGTAGATGTACTTAAAATCTGTCCAAAGTTCCCCACCAAATACCCTTGTTACCCTCAGCAGACAAGTTGTTTTAATGAGTATTTATTAACTTAGATTTTAGTTTCCTTACATATTTGTAATGTTGGCAATATTTTTCATTTTAGTTTAGGACTCGAAATGCTCTGTCAATATATTTAGAAGATGATAAAGCAATTGTTTATTTGTATGATCTTTGTTGCAACCACACAGTGTATTAAATAGTGCAATATAAACCAAATTATTAGGATCATGTGATTTATTAATATCATGTTAATGTTTCGTCATAATTATAATCATAACATTAAATCAAAGTACTCAGAAGTACAGAGAGCCGGGCTCATTCACAGAGTAGAATGGATTTCTTACATGAATCACGTTTATATTCTGATGAAAAAATATTTCAAAACTGTCAATATACATAATAAGACACTGACAGTGAGTTTTTCAATCCTAATACCACGGTCCGATTTTGTCGGAATCAGAATTAATCTGGTACCGCAGGTGAATGTAAACAAACAGGCCAGTCTGGTTCCCTCTCCTACTTTACCTCGTATGTGAAGAGAACTACGGTAACACTGATTATCAAAAATCCTTACGCTTATGAACTATGTTCTTGGACTTATGAAGTTTTCAAAGTCATTAGTTCTAATGTTTATTTAATATAGATAAAACTTCGTTTTATTTTTTTGCTTTATTTAGCGTTTGTATTATCTCAAAAGCGATTGAGAGTAAGAACTATATTTTTGCACGTAACTTCAAATTGGCGACTATGGGGTCAACATCCTGCCTTGAACAGGATCACATAAGCCGGCAATTGCTCTTTGAGCAATAATCCCGGCTAAAAATCAATTCAGAATGTAGAATCTTCACTAGTGATATAAATTGCAGAATCTTAAAACTATAATTCATCTGAATAAAATATATGAAGTAACAAAAATTAATGCATTTTTTATATTGTTTAAATTTTCAGTAACCCTCCACCACAACTCTTTCCTATCCTCGACTTCCAAGACTTAAGAGGACGAAAGTGTGCTGTTCAAAAAATGCTTAACATTTACTGAGGGTACATCAACAACTTCCACTCTGACACGAGTAAACTCAGTACCAAATGGTGCCCCAAAAAAGATGTCTACCCAGCATTTTCCCCAGTATCACCCCCAAAGAGAACGGCTGCTGCTTTCATGGACTCTTCAGCCACGGAGACAGCTGCTTCCTGTATCAAGTCTCAAGCACAAGGAAGTCAGGGAACATATACGGGTGTGGTGGACTCAATTTTGACAGAATAAAGGTGAGCATTTAAGCCGTATTTTTCTTATAAATTGAACCTAATTTTAATGCATTTTTTTCCGATTTAATTATTTTCATTAAATGTTAACTTTACTATCATCATTCATCAGTATTTAAAAAAGGCACTTTTCATGTATTCTAGAAGACGTCACAAGCTAAAACGGAAAATGATGCAGAGATCAACACATCCAACTTACCCCCTACAAGAGGAGCTGCGAACTTTAAGATCGCTAAAGGATGCAATAAATGCCAATGTACAGCAGATGGAGATATTAACTTCATGGAGGACTATTTTAGAAGGCGCAGAGTGCAATTTGTATCCGTGTAATCTTCTTGCTTTGTGAAGGACGGCATAAAATAGGAGACTATCACTAAAACTATTTCTAACCTCATAAATGTGTAAATTCTCCAGTTCTAACAGAGTGATATATATACATAGACGAAAAACAGTTAAAGAAAAAATGATTACTCTTATCCTACACTCAACTTTTTAGCTCACCTGAGCCGAAGGCTCAAGTGAGCTTTTCTGATCACATTTTGTCCGTCGTCCGTCCGTCTGTCTGTCCGTCCGTCCGTCTGTCTGTCTGTCCGTCTGTAAACTTTTCACATTTTCGACTTCTTCTCAAGAACCACTGGACCAAT